GATTATGTGCTCCAAATCGTGTTTTTGAATCATATCACATGCATCAAAGTCCCCAAAATGAACTCAACAATTTTTCACCACCAAATAAATGTAAATAGTGAGTCTGTATTAATAATGACTTCAATTGTGTTTATTAAATATTGTTAATGATTCGATCATTTGTTGATGTAAGTACAATATGAAATATTATATTGTATGTTCTGTTGATGCAATGTATAATACCTTATAGCTTTCCATTCTTTAATTACAGTATAAATTATACACTTAGTGATCAGATAATGCAAAACGCCCATGTCCAAAAGGGCTTGTTTATACAGGATTTAAACAAAAATACTTTCTTAGCAAGTCATTCTATGTCCAAGCATATTATCCTTATTATGTTAATAGTAAATTATGAATATTTCCAATAGACCCCCTTTTTATATTTATTGTAAAAAAGACAGAGCCACAACAGCATACACATTAAACCCTCATTATTATATTTACGGTGTTAAATGGTCAGGCAATTCTCTCCGCACATGTTTTCGCTCAAAGTCCGCAGGCTTTCCTGTAGTTAGTGGTGATTCTGTTGTTTTTATGCACTTTAATACCGTCAATTGATAATTGTGTCCTCTATCATTTATATTGGGTTATATCGGAGTGATATTCTTTCTTGTTTCCATGTGTATTCTCTGCTCCTGATGCCCCTCATCGCCTCTGTAGCCTCGTGGCTCACCCTCTTCTCCGCGGATGGAGCCTGGCGGTGTCTGCAGGTGTCAGAGTTGATCTAGTAGGCCGGTAGGGAGGGACTTGAGTCTTGCCAAACTTCCTCATTTGTTTCTCCCTCTCAGTGCGCTCCAGTGCCAGTCTACCTGGTCCTGGCTCGGAGAGACCACGTGTTACGTGTCATTCCAGCAAGCACGGATTCCGGGGGAAGCACCATGCGATACTCCAGGCTGAAATGGCAGTTGACCTACTGCTGAGCCTCAGCGTTATTATGTCCTCTTTCTTATTTTGAGTTTTTCCTTTTTTTTTTTCCACCCAACACCACCAGGACACTACAGCATCCTCTGCATCCTTACGCGCAGATAGCTCACATAGAGCCTCCTCCTGTACGCAACGCATGTTTCCCTCGCTCGCTTCCCCCTCCCCTTTTTTTTTTTCTCTTTTCCGCCCACTTTCCTCCCTCCTCATCCCCCTCTCAATCCTGTTTCTGTTCTAACCAGAGGACATTCGGGACTCTTCTCCCCCTATCAACCCCCGCGAGACCAGTAGGATCAATGGGTTTCAACTCGATCCGATTTTGCTGGTGACAAATGGGGTTTTGTTCCCTGATGAGTGTGTTTTCCCGAGGACTATCGGAGCTCCTCATGCTGGACTGCCCGCCCCGACGCTGCCAGGCTGCTCTCAATAGAGATATACTTTGACAATAAGTCCGACAACCGGCAGGGTTTTGTCCCCTTTACTGGACCTGCAAGAAAACTGGGAACAATGGGACCAGTCATGACATAGCAGTAATGTTATTCAAAAAACATCACGCACTAAATGTAGTAGATGGGGCGGATTATGTCGTTGCGTTTTTTTTTAAATTTGAATCATTAATTTGATTATGGTGCTTTCAGAGGTGTCTGCTGCTTCCTCTGCACTTGTTGGATATTATTGTCTTATTCTGAGAGTTTTTTGGAGCCTTCCTATCAAACTGTGCTGTGAGTGAGCCCTTTTTACATGATAGAACCATGTATAATCATCGGTGTTGCAATGGGAGGTTAATTCGGCTTATTTGCACACATATTGTCCTGCAAAGATTTTTGTCAGTAGAGGAGCCGACTTTGATCCTTGAACCGTTTTTGTAGTTTGTGGTGTTGTGTGTGTGTGTGTGTGTGTGTGTGTGTGCTGTGTGTGGTGTGTGTGTGTGTGATGTGTGTGTGTGTGTTTGTGTGGTGTGTGTGATGTGTGTGGTCGTGTGTGTGTGCCCCGATGGGTGTGTGTTGTGTGTGTGTGTGTGGTCCTCCATAAATTGGCCCCTCCCGGGCAGCCGGCCTCCGCGGCGCCCGCTGAAATGTACAGAGGATGTTGGCGGGAAACGTCACATCACCTGCATTCACTCACCGAACTGGCTTCCGACAGATTTGGGGGGCTATAATGAAACAGCAAATAGAAATGGGGCGCAGTTAAGGTCAAAACCGTTGTGTAACTCCAGCATCCTTTTGGGGGAAAGCGATGCGACGCCTACGCAAACTTTATTATGTTGCAGATGATGCGATAGCTACTATCCAGAGGGCGAACGGAAGGGGGGGCGTTAATAACGGTCTGTACGCCCCCCCCAGTGAAGCTTGTGTTTCATAATAAGCTTAAGGATCCATCGATCTCAGGCTCTCCAAACCCCTCTTTGGAAGCAAGCCTAATTTCCATCCTGCCTCTCCTCCTCCCCTCCCTCCTTTCTGCCTCCCTGGCCACCGATCCTTCCTGCCAACCATCAAAGGCTTTCTTTCTGAAAAGTCCAGAGGGGAAAAAGGAAGGCCTTAAAATAAAGACCTCTGGTGTCTGATTTGGATATAAATAAACCATCTCGCACAGGAAGGAGTTTCCCAACCAGCGCGCGTCCCTTGAACGCGCACAATAGGACTTTTCGCTTCCCATCGGTTTTCAGTATCCCCGTTCACCCCCTTTTACCTTTTGACGGCATACCCCAACCAACTATTAGGGACACGGTTCATGCTTCCCT